CTGCTATTGGGGAAAGGGGCCAAACAGGGATGCCTGCTAGCCCCATTTCTTTTCAACTTTTATATAAACGACATTGTCCATTACTTGCAAAATTACAAGTCATCGGCTCCAGCCCTTGAGGGTAAACGCCTGAATATTTTGCTATATGCCGATGACATGGTTTTAATGGCACTCACCCGAAGAGGCTTACGCAGCATGCTGGAGGGATCGTGAGCCTATTGTTCCCATAATTCACTAAAGATAAACCATGATAAAACAAAAATTGTAGGTGTTTACTAGACCTCGCCACACCATTAGAAGGTCTTTAGATGAACAAGTGATTGAACAGTGCCCTTTTTTTTAAATATCTGGGTGTTACATTCCAGGCTACATCTAGCTGGCTAGCCCACTTTAAGGCTGTAACCATCCTAACACGAAGAACAATTGGTGTTTTGCTTAGTGTCTTCCATACCAGGGAGGACAATTGGTGATCCCGGCATTAAGAGCTTTCGTTGGAAAGCTATTCCCCAGATGTTATATGGGATAGAACTCTGGGGGTGGAACCAGAGAGCTGTTGGAACGGCTGAAATTTCGCAAAACTACTATCTCAAGAAGATTCTAGGCCTTCCTCAAGGAACCCCAGCAGCCTTCTTGAGGGTGGAGGTTGGTTTACCCTCTGTGTCTGCCAGGGCCCACTTAAGATTCCTACGATTTTACATCAACCTTGCAAACTCTCCAAACACCTTATTGGCCAAACAAGCCTTCGTATCTTTTCAAAAGAATACCACTTGGCGCCAAAACTTATCTGAGATCCTGGTTAGATACACCCTACCGGAGTTTAATATCCTCAAACGGTGGAGCCGGACAAAGTCCGGAAATGGATCCTGGAGAGAGACGCTCTGTTAGATACCACAAAAATACAGATCCCAGGGTCCTCCCACTGGCTTCCCCGACTGAAAGCAGTCAAAATCTGCGCCAACTACTTGGCGAATATCACCAATCCCACTCTTCGGAGAGCCTTTACTATGGCCCGCTTTCAAACCATTCCTACGGCCTATCTGTCAGGCAGATATGCAAAAATCCCAGTAGAGCAGCGGATATGTCCTTGTTATATGAGAACCAAAGAGGATCTCATACATTACATGTTGTATTGTCCCATCTATTCGGCCTTCAGGGATGCGATGTTACAAACTATTCCTAAATCAATAGTCAACTCTGAGGACCAAGTAAAGTTTTTACTGGTAGACGCTGATCCACGGATTTCTCACGTGGTAGCGGTCTTTGTGGTGAAGGCTATGAAAACTAGGGTATGGTTCCTGGATGAAACGGTGAGGTCCCTCCCATTGCTCTCCTAACCTGTTGCTGTACCTTCTTCCTTGAATGGTGGGGTTTTTTGGGTAGTTTCCTTGCTGGGACAACATGGCATGAATTTTAGCCTACTTTTATAATCCTTTTGGTTTATCTTTTAAAAATGTTTTATGGTATTTTGTGTAAAGGCATGGACCTCACAAATTTAATAAATTTGTTGTTACTTGGAAGTTGACATGAATGGAGCTTATTTTCTAGTCCTGGGTTCAGGATAAAATACTAATATTATGAAGGGGGACCTGCAACATAATGTTGCAGCACAGAGTACATCTGTGCACTGTTCCATTTCCATGATGTGCCATTCATTTCCACCCAGTTTTCTGTCCCACTTCCTCTGCCCCACACAACAGTCAGCATTCCATGGCCACAGAGTGTGCTTGCTCCTTAAAATCATAGAATCATAGCGTTGGAAGGGACCCTGAGGGTTGTCTAGTCCAACCCCCTGCAATTGCAGGAATATGCAGTTGTCCCATATGGGGATTGAACCTGCAACCTTGACATTATCAGCACCATGCTCTAACCAGCTGAGCTATCCCGGGGGGCAGGGACTGGGCGGCTTTCATCCCTCCTTTGGGTTTCCCTTCCTAAAAGGATTTTGGGTTTTTTTGGGTACTTCTATAAACCTGCAGGTGCATCCCTCCTGTGTGTGAGTGGTGCTGTTTTGACTACGTAAGCATTGACACTTACAGCCTGCGCCCTGAAAACCACTGCGATGATGGTTATCATTGCTTTAACTTGTATGCAGCTTTTCTACATTGATGTACCCACAGAGAAGTGTCTCACCACACAAGGAGGAGCAATGCAAAAACAGGAATACATAATCAAAGCATCAGTACAGTAACAATTTACCATTGGCTCGATTTTTTTGTTTTTGTTTTAATAATACAGGAATTCTGATAAACAACAGTTTGTTTCTGCAATGCTAACATAGCACCATCTCCATTTCCGATTTGTTCCAAGAGAGACAGCATCAATCACTATCACAATACAAATTGATAATATTTATCAGTCCCTAACGCTGATGCTTTGAATTGACCCTATTTATCAATTCACGTAAGCCAGAGGCAGCTATGATAAAACTGTCTAGTGTGGTGAGATATTAATAAATAATACAAACAGGGTTGCACAGCCAAGTGTGGCCGTGTGGACTGCTCCTCTTCAGCATTCCAGCCAGCCAGACTTTTCCGGGAGAGTCCATTCCACTTGCCCTGCTGGTTTTCCACCCTGCCTGCATCAATCAACCAACATTGGGCCATTTCTCCCTCTCTCACACACCCTGCCTCTGCACCCCCACATGACAAGGGTGTGGTGTGGTGTGGTGTGTGTGTGTTCCTACATACCTCCTGTCCTCCAGCCTGAGGATTCTTCTCTTTTATGCAAGAGTTGGGCCACAACAACCCAGGCCAGGAAAATGAGTTCACTATTTGTATACAGCAGGGGTGGTTCACTGTGATACTCCAGATATCCTTGGACTCCAACTCCCATAGAATCATAGAGTTAGGAGAAATTCCCCAGGGCCGTCTGGTTCAACCCCTTGCAGTGCAGGAATCTCCACCAGATTATCCATGACAAATGACCATCCATTCCAGTGGCAGGACCAATAGTCAGGGATGTTTCTGGAGCTGGTTGTGATGGCCTGGGATTCGGACTTGGATACTGAACCTGAGGGATCCCAGCCTGCACAGGATTCCCTGCCTCCAGAACCAGCTGAGCGGGGCTGGGGCATGAGACCTGAAGGGTCCCTCAACTGTGCTGGATCCTCAGGTGCAGACATCAGCTGAGCCTGCTCTGGCACCTGAGGTGATGGTGGACCCATTGCCTGCAGGTGCTCCACTCTCAGCCCCATCAGAGGAAGCTGAGGTGGCCTCTGGGTCCAGTAACCCTCCAGCCTCTTCTGAGCTGCAGAGGTTCAGGGCAGAGAGGCGGAGGGAACTAAGTTCCCGCAGGAGGAATGCTCGCCTCCTGGCCAGGAGAGGTGAGTCACCAGAGGATCGGGGTGACCCATGCCTCAGGGCAGATAAAAGCCAGCCAGCCCCAGTCCTAAGTTGCAGGAGCAACATTGTTGGTTGCTAGTTCCTGCCTGAGCTCCTGACCTGCCCTAGCTCCCTCCTTGCAAGCCTGTTCCTGACTTTACCCGGCTCCCCTGCCTTGCACCCTGCTTCAGCTGCTCACGGACTGCCTCCACGTTGCACACCTTGACCCCAGACCGGACTTGGACCTCGCCTCTGGGGTAACTCCACGGGACCAGCACACTGGTTCTGCATGCCCTTCTCCT